CATGACTAAAGATTTAACATCTATTTTTTTTTTTGTTTTTAAATAGACAGGATAGTTTTGTAATTCAAATCAGGATTTATAAAACTGTGGTTCTTCTTTGACCATTGCTTATTTAGAGGTGCGTTGTATAGAACACCAGGTCTACAGCAATTATGTTTCTGGCTAAAAACGTATCATCCACTAGCTCCAAACCTGCAATCATTAGTATGGGAGGAATATTTTACCAGAATTCAGCTCAGCATCATTGAGTTCAATGGGGCTCTTTGAAAATGGAGTAATCCACTCAGGTGTCATCGTTACCATCAAATACCTTACAGGGTACTAGAATATGATTATGGAATGGATCTAAAGGTAATGATCCTGGATTTAAAAGCAGTTGCTCAGCAAGGAGAATTATGTTAGTTAAACTTTTAAAAGTGAACTTTCATGACTAGAGAAAAATAACCTCAGCATACTTTCCAATACAGTAATGCCTTTTGTGTTTCATTTAAGATATACTAAATTAAATTTTCATACCCAGTAAATCTGATAGAAGTTGCAGTGTTATGCTTTGAGTTTGGCACTGCTTACTATACTGAAAGAAAATGCCTATACCAAGGAGCTAACAATTTAAATTGCTAATGCATCCCTATGACATGCAATAAAAATGATTAGATTGTCAGAATGGCCTTAATGCAATTTAATGTGCTTTGAATTAAATGGTAGTCAATTACGGTAGAGTTTCATAGAAATCTTTCTAAAGAAAATTCTAGTTTCTTGATGCACTCCGTGTTCATTATTTAACTAAACATACTTTATCTCACCCCAGGATTTCAATCTATTCACGAATCTCTCAATTCACTGCAACACATACAGACCACAAAGCTGAAACTAGAAAAACAGAAAATCCAGAAAGATATTAAAAAGATCCGACGAAAGATGATGACTGAACTCGAAGACTGAAGCCTTATGAAGATTCATCTCTCTCCACCTAGACACAGCATTAACTTAGGGATTTTCTGTTTCAGCCTTTTATCTTTAAAAAATTGCCATTGTTTCTCCATGTTGTCCCTAGGACTTTTTTTTTTATGTTTACATCATGTTGTATGCTGAAATCTTCATAATCTATTGCAATACTAAGAATTGGTGATTTTCATGTTGCTTTTAATGCATTGAAAGTAGCTGGATGTGAAGGGAAAATAAAATTTAAGGAGTGACAGAGTTTTATAAAAACTATTGGCTTTTATTTGGGGATTCTTAGGAACCATTTGCTCATTTAACACTGAGTTTAAGTAAAATGAGCCTAATGCCAGACAAAAATGAGCTGCTTTTAGACCAGTGCAACTACAATCAAAATTGGATCTTGTAACTTCTTCTGTTTCTGTCCTATGCTCATGCATTAATCCCATTCTTAAGAAATGGAGATTGATTGGAAAGAAAAATACTAATCCTCCCCTCAGTCTCTAGAATGTAGCAGGAAATGTACTCCTATGCTATCCGAGCTGGAGGAGAGAGGACATGGAGTCACTAAAAGCAGTTAAACAATGGAGTTACTAAAAGCAGTGCGAACAATGTAGACAAAATAAAAGATAATACTTACATTACCAAAAAGTAATGCTAGAGTGTTGCTGTAGCTGTGATGGTCCAGTGAATGTTTGCGAGATCAGGGGTTTTTGTGATGGCTTTTATTGAACCAACTGTATAGATCCTTCCCCAAAGCTTGCCCTTAAGCAGTGTGTGCCTAAAAATTTGTCAAACTTCTTTCCTAACTATACGGTCCAATAAAAGATATCACAATAAACAAAACAAAAAAACTAAAAAAAAAAATAAACCAATCAAAAAGACAACAAACCTCATCTTTCATACATTGTCAGAATGTTGTCCCAGATTGATTTGAAGCATTAAAGTCTAGGGAACAATCTTGAATTTAAAGTCTAAAATGAAATCAGTCTGATCAGGGAGCTGTGGTATTATTATTAAGAACTACTATTGCATGGGTAGACACAATCAAGGTGTTTGCAACTCCTTGGGTGCATCTACACAAGAAGTTTACTGCGGAGTAGACTATTTAGCTCCACACTGTCTGTGTCTACCTGCATAGCCCTACTAGGCTGCAGTAAACAAATAAATGCCACTGTAGGTTAGTACTTGTGTTGATAAGTACTCTCCTGCAGTGGTATTATTTAGCGCACCACAATGCACGTGCAAATGCTGATGAGACCAGCTGGGGTACAAGGGTGCTTTAGTACGGGGCCTATCTGCTGGCTAGCTTCACACTGGAGCACCCTTGTGCCCCAGCCAGCCCCTCTACAGCACGTTGAGCTGGGTTGGAGCATCCTTGGGCTGACAAGGTGACCCCCCCCCAGACTCCCTGCCAGTTAGGACTGCTCTGACCCAGTTCAACGTGTGGCAGTCCTGGGTGCATGTGTAAACACAGCACCCAGGAGCAATAAACTCTAGCATGAACTGTGCTGTTTATTCATTAGCATTCATTGCATGTGTAGATGTGCCTCGTGTTCAAATTTAAGTTCACTATCACCTCTAGTAAAGGCTAGCTAAAGCTTCCTTACTATGCACAGCTCTTCCTGTTTGGTTGGCTCAGCAGGAGGCAAATTGTATTAGCCAGCTGTCAGGCTGGAGGCTAAATCCTATTTCACCTTCACACACCCAAGTGACACTCATATGATCACTTAACTGCAGTTTTTGGCACTTGTGCAGCTTGGGATCTTGTATACCAACACTTGCCCTGTGCTTCTCTTTTGTGCATGCTCACTTGGCTTGGTCTTGCCCTTGTCATGGAGTACAGGGCTTCACCTTCAGGAATGAATCTTAAGGAAGTACAGCTTAAAGCCTTTATGATCCCTGAATACTGTCTATTCATACCAATTACACAGCAATTTATTTGGTGCATATAATTATACAGTTCATAACTTGTTATCTCAAAGAAAGCTGTCACTAGTTTCCAATTGTAAGGAATTACCATTGGTGGTTTTAAAGTAACTTGTCTGATGGAAAGAGTGCTAAATACCACATCACTGTCATTTTAATACATGAACATTTAAAATTAACAGTTCATACCCTAAGGCTAATTACTCTCTCCAACTTAGTATACTTTCTCATTTACTTTAGCAGTAAGCCTGCAGATCTGTTATCTAATATCTGAGCAAAGCAAGATTTAAAAACACTTGATGGTATGACATTTCTGTCTGCGATACAAGACAAAAGACAGACAAGCTGGAGAACATGCTAGCATTCAGACAGAGATAGCTCCAACCATCACTATAATGACCTACAGCAGCCTAGTGGTTGATAGCAGTCATTTGTACGTCCTCCAGGCTGTATGTGGCCCTGACTCTGTGATCAATGCTTTAAGGTCTTAAATAACATGCATATGCTCATCCAGTCCAAGCTGCAATAAAATGAGAACAAAGCCACAAAGATATTCCATGTATAATACAGAACATCTTTATGACTGGTTTGCATTGTGCCTTAAATAGAACATGGCACAACCTTCTTCCCCGTGTCTGGTTCCAACACTCAGCTGAGCACTAGGATTCAACTTGGGGTAGCTTCAGGATCCAGGACACAACCTTTCTTTTCCTGAGCTTTAGGATAAGACTGAGGATAGCCTTGGGTCTGAATCAGGCCCTGGGCAACCCCCAAGGTTTGGAACAAAGCAACTCCCTCCTCAAATCAATGAACTGGACTGGGGGCACAACCAACTCCTGAACGTGGCTACCTTCCACTCTATCCCCAGAAGCACTACCTGTTCTTGGGTCCAGGACACAGGCACCTCTTTAAACAGGTCCATTTAAAAGGGGCACCCAGCATGAACAGCTGGGGATGATGGAGCTCCTCCATTCCTTCTGCTCACACCAGACACCTCTTTAGTCCAGGACATGCAGCAGGGTATGGTATAGATGGGAAAGCTTTTGTATGGGGACCATCACGACCCCAATACTGGATGTCTTTGCCCCAGTGTCTGCCCATGGAACTTTTAAAAAGTGGGCAGCCATTGAGCTGAGGCTCCCAGGTGCATGCCCTTTTTTTAAAAGGTCTGGGACATTGAGCTGGGCTTTGTGACTCGGAGGTGAAGAGATGAGAGTTCAAGACTGCCTGCATCAAGTCCTGGCTGGGCAGAATGTCCTCTCAGCTTCATGCCTTTGTTTGTTTATTAAGATTTTTGGGGTGGCCGTGACCCTTTGGATCATACCCCATAAAGAGTCTGAGGAGTCTTGGTGCTCAGCAGCTAGCTTGCAGGTTGGGCTTTTGCGCTATGTCCCTTCCCAGCCCAAATTCAAGACTGTCTGTGTCATCTTGTTAGGTAGAGGCGCTTGTTCTGGTCTTTGGCATCCTTGCCACTGGGGCTGCTGAGCATTTACCTCCCCTTCCCTGCCCCCCAGGCAGGCTCCTGAGTCCACCTCAGATGTGCCACAGATCCAACTGGCAGTTTCAGGAGTCCCTGCAATAATGAAGAATTGTAAGATGGCATTCAGGAAGACTGTTAGGGGGAGAGAAGCAGCAAAAAGAGCTATGTGGAGGAAGCTTGGCTTACTATACCACAATTAGAAAGTGTGCAACTCCCGAGATCATAATTATTAAAATGCTAGAGTTAATGGCACAAAGCAGGAGAATCCTTAAGTGATTGTTGCTTTACTGCTGGCACATATGTGAATCTGGACTTGTAAATAGATCATAAAATATCCAGCAATTGTTTTTACATGTTAGGTGACTAGACAGCATGAGAGAGTTTTGGGTAGTGGTAGTGCAACATTACATGTTCAGTCTACATTATGAACCACCTTAAGAAAAAGATCATCTTACATGGCAATTGGTAGACGACTGTAAGATCAGAAGATAAGCAAGGAAGGAAATATTGCTGGTCAGAAGAGCCCTTCCTTCCAATAAGGGAAACAGGTTGGGTAACCTTTTCAGACACAAAAGCTGAGAACATTTGAAGTGTACATATTGCACATTAAGTTACCTGTTTATTTTGGAAAGAAATGAAAAGGACATTCTAGAATAACTGCATTTTTTTTAATCACATGCAAGTAATGGGCAAAGTAACATCATGTATCAAGAATCACTGCCATGATTAATTCAAGTAAATGGTCAACAGCTGGGTTACCAAAAAGATAAATACAAAAACAAGTCAGACTCATTTGTGACTACAAACCTGATGATTGCACAAATTTTTCTTTGCCTGAACTATTTATTGTAGAAGTCTGAAGACAAGAAGGTCCAATGGAGTCAGTTGTAACGATAACTATTTTGGGGCTATCAGTAAATTAGCAGATACATTTAGGTCTCAAAACTGTAGTGAAAAGCATATTGCTAGATTCCTGCATGTTACAACAGTTAGGAAAAGCAGAAACAGTTCATTTGCACACTACCTAGACAACTATTAAGGCCTTGTTTTTGTTTTTTTCTTTTTAAAAAAAGGTACCTTATTATTTTGCACCACTGCAGCAGATGCAAAATAAAAATCACTTCTGTTGGCATTTATACATGAAGAACAGGGATAAATACATTCTTCATTACAGCATCACTAAATAAATTTAAGTGGGTAGAGGGACAGGGAAGAATGGATGAGTCATGTTCATTTAAAATCAAAGACAGACTGATAGAAGGGCCCATCTCAAAATTCTTTCATTTCCCTCAAATAAAAGAAATTAAAAAAAAAAGAAAGAGGCAGCTGTCCCACTTAAAGGAAGTCCAGGCTAGGAACATGCCGACAACTTCTTATCTAGTTCCAGAGCTCTAGTATCTCCGTTAGCTTTGGCATTTGCTATAAGCACCTGAGGGAATAAAAGAGAAGTGTCAGCATTAGCAAGCTACTGTGGTAATATATTTTAATCTCTTCTACCCAGCCAACCTAAACAGCCAAATGGCCAGAGTTCAAATGAAATGCTTCAGGATTATGCATCAGCTTGCTTACAGCATACAGCTCAACACTGCAGACCTTTGCAATACAAGACATCACCATTTGTCACCAGGAGAAGAGAATTAAGTTCCATACTAGCAATGAACCAAGCATTCAATGGAAGAGATCCTTCTCTCTGTCAATGCAAGACTGTTCCCTGCAGTCCATTTTACTGGTATTTGGCAGGCCTACACTTTATATGCCATGATGGAGCTGTTCTTATACAGCACTGTCAAAAGTTCTCTGACTTTTCATTTAGGATTTACCCTTTCTTGTTTTAATTTTAAGACCAACTCCCACTAGAAGCCTTTCTTGTATTCAAATAGTTCTATCAGCTTGGTGTTCAGCTATTCATAGGTTTGTCTGGCACTTCTAGGCTTCCTGTAATCACTTAGTCAAGTTATGTGTACGACTTAAATTTTCCGTTTTAAGGAAATCCCTCCAACTCCTAGCTATTTTTATTGCTTTTCTCAGCAATCTTAGTTGCAGTCTACTACCCAGAAGAAAGTACAACAAAACTACTAGTATTGCCAACTCTTTTGTCACAAGCTTCAAAATGCAAGTCTAACATGGGAAGTACTGACATCTCAGTACAAATGTTTCTTTCTATATTGAGACTACTTTTTCTCCAAAAGTCCAAGTCACTTAAAGCAAAATGTTATTGTTCTAATGCATGCTGCTATATTCATTAATAACCTGGTAGCTGGAAGAAATTTCATCTCATCAGTCCTTCTTTGACTGAAGAGTTAAATATGAACAAAATGTTTGTGCACCAGCCCTGGAGACCACAGCAAAAGTGTTAGGAATTCTTGGCTCTGCAGTGGTCCCAGTACTAGAAATTAGGGCTGTGCAAGTTTTGGTTGCCGATTTAGTTCGGCGGAGATTTGGTCCAATTCAGTAGCCGAATCTCCGAACTGAATCAGGAGAACCTTTAACCTCTCCAAATCAATTTGGAGAGATTCAAATATAGACACAGCTTTAAATGTTTTTTCTATATACCTCAAGGTACCAGGCAGCTCATGAATGCCGAGATGATGGGGCAGATGGAGTATGTCCCACAGGAGTGCAGGGGTGTCCCCAGTGCACTTGGCAGCAGACTCAGAAGTGGATCAGAAGCGCTTCCAGTCTGCTTCTGGGTCTGCTGGGGAGCACACTGGAGCCCCCACTGTGCCTCCTGGCTCAGTGACTGGTGCCTCCTGGGTCTGGAGGGGCACCCAGAGTCCCCCTGCAGCCAATCGAAGAGCTAGGGATGCATGGGGGGGTCCCCCAGAGCGCTCAGCACCAGACCCGGAAGTGGACTGGAAGTACTCCTGGTCTACTTCCAGGTTTCCTGTTGAGCATGTGGGGGGCACCCCCATGCTCCTGTGGGACACTCTATCCACCCCAGCATCACAGTTTTCACGAGCTGCGCCTGGTACCTCGAGGTATGCAGAAGAAAACATTTAAACCTGTGTCTATGGCCGAATCGCTGATTCTCTGTATCAGCATTGAATCTTCAGATTCAGTCTAATTGAATTGGGACAGTGATCTGAATCAACGAATCAAATCACAATCCCCAATTTGGGCCAAATCCCAATCCAATATGGCCTATTCGCACACGCCTACTAGAAATAGTGCTAAGAATTTCAAGCCGAAGGATGTGCATTAAGATAGATGCACCATGACATACAGCTAAAGGAAGGATATAGCAACCAAGAAACCAGCTAAACTAATTCATACATGCACCTCATTTACTGCTGTTAAAATAGAGCTTCAAAGTTTAATGCCTGGATTAAAAAGCATTCTCCCATGATAAGAGTCTTAACACTGTAGCAGTAAGTCCAACTGCTTCCAAATCAATGTTTAGCCTCACATGAAATACGGAAGTATTTATTAATCTGGGTCTGACAACAAAACAGTTTACCTAAGGTCAGAAAAGAAACCAGTGGCAGAGCTAGGAAGTGCACCTTGGTCTGCCAAGTCAAGTCCAATGGCTTAATGAAAAGGCTATGGAAGTCCAATATGGATTTAGAAGAAGAGTGGGGGTGAACTGGGGGAGAGGGTGGGGGCAGAAATTTCCTTAAAAAGGCCAAACAAAAACAAACAAACAAACAAAAAACAAAAACAAAAAACAAAAAAAACCCCCCAAAACAAAACAACAACAAACAAACAAAACAGGCCCACAAGCTGGTGGATGTTCAAAAAAAAAAAAGGCTTTCCTTAATCCAGCACCTGCTTCCTTTTAGCCCTATCTTAAAATTGTTACATTGAGAAAATAAGCTGGAACATTTAAGAGCATCATCTCAATCCAGTTTTCCAAAAAGTGCAATTTAAATGAACTCTGCTATTTCTTGGGCAATGCTTAGTACGACAGGGTTTCACTTTAAATTTAGAACAACAAGCAGTCTTGATTCTTCATGGGGGCTGCAAAGGAAATGTTGCCCTGAAAAACATGTTTTGTACGAAATTAAAGTGTGCATGTGTTAAAAACTGGAGATACAAGGAAATTTAGTGTGCTTTACATCTTTTGAGTTACTGCACAAACTTTTCATTTAAAAAAAAAGTTACTAGACTATTCCTATTCAAACTATTAGGAAGTTAAGGAAGAGAGACACACTAATGTAACTTCTTTCTAAGGCCCCTGGTAGACATTAAAATAATGGCATTATTGGGAACTGAATTCCACTTGAAACTAGAGCTACACATTAGACAAACCTACTGTAATCTGATTTACTGTATTCATTTTCTAACAGTTTTTTTGTTGGACATAAAAAAACCCAAAATCCTATTGCCAAAATAAGTTACATGCTCAAAGTCAAAGTTTAGAAAAGTGTTCAGGATACTGAGAGACTAGAAATTAATCTCTGACTAATATATACATGTTTACCAAGAAGGCCTACCAGCCTTTCACCCAGTTCCTCAAGTCAAGGTCTGCATTGATTTACACACCATGGTAGTCCACTCTCTACAGTACAGATGCATGGAAAGAAAAAGAAGTCTGATCCCTGAAATTAACGTGATCCTTGGATCTAGACAATTTTGCACAGGAGATAAATCAAAATTCACTGTTTACGAGTATATTGCATCTCACAGGCTTTATAGTAAAAAGAATGCATCTTACATCTATTAATTCATAATCATCTTTGGCGTATAGGTGTTTTAGGAGGTACCAGCGTGCAACTGACACTATAGTTTCTGGATACCCCGGCTGATACACAACTTTTTCCAACATCCGACGAGTCTCCCTAGGAATAAATATGGAATTTAATGATCAAATCAAGAGGTTTGGTCACAGTAACATGCATGACTTATCTCATATTAATCACACTAAATAAATGTCTTGCTGCATTAAAACACACACCAGCCATTCACTGGAAGCTCCATCAGCTTCTGCAAATTTAAGCTTCAACTTAAAACTCCTATGCCTTATATTACACAGCTTTTGACATTCTTCTGCAGCATGATCCAGTGGATCAACCGTGTAATAATCATCCAGTGGCTGCTTCCTGTCACATCTCAAAACTGAACATATGGCCAGTGTGCTCCTGTGCCTGGGACTGCCCGCCAGCGGATCGGCACCCCTAGCTTCCTCAGGACTGCACCAGAACAAAGGGTTCCAATGGGCTCCCGTGGCTGGGAGCACTGAGCACCTAGCTTGCTGCTTGCTAGTACAGGGGGAGCCCGAGATCATGATCCTGGGCTCCCTGTGCAGTGGCAATAGGATATGATTAGGATCTGATCCCTGACCCCATAATTGTGCCTCCAGCCATGCACATGTAGCATCGCAGGAGGCACAATTGTTGGGACAAGGGATCAATTTGAATTGCACCTTTAAAAAGAATGTTTGTCAGCAACCTGTAACACTACTGCAAAATTTCAATGGACTTTTCAGCTTTTAAAAAGTTGAACCAACATACCATTTTGCTTTCATTTGAGTGAGGTACACTGTACTGTAGAGAATACATACCTTGCTCCCATCTTGCGACTGTACTGTAGCAGTGCTCGCAGAAGAACTGCCAGAGGACAGAAGGAAAGTTTCAAGGCTTCGGTTGTTGCCTCCTGTACTAAAGATGGCCAGTGATCATTTGAAACATTAGCCTACAAGCCAAAAACGTAGCAAGAAAAGCATTAGTGGCCATTATGTGATCAAAATGCTTTGCTGTGGTGTATAAGTAATATTTGCTTGCAAACATTTTCTCATATTGACATTTGATTCTGGGAGTCAGGAAAGCTAAAATGTTAGTTTAATTGCACCAAAAATCTTCCTAAATCTTATACTGTAAGAAAGTTAGAAAACCCGAACTATCTTTCAACAACCTCTTGAGCAGCCCTGCAAAAGGTCCATTACCATTCATTTGGGGAGTCACTTTTTCCCTGTAAAAAATGATGTTCTTTTAAAAGGATAGCTAGGATGTATGACAATTTGGTATAGCTGACAGGTATTTGCCAGATTATTTTGGAGTGACTCATATATCAACCTTGCTGACAAACACCTATGTTCAGTAATAAGTTAAAATATCAAACTGGAATTGCATTTCATAGTGGAGGCACCATTCAGTAAAATCTTATTAAATTCAGTGAAATATGCAAACAAGCCAAACATGGTACAGTATCAATGTTTTTATATACTAAATGCTTAGGTTCTCACCAAGATGGTTAGTTGGGGGGGGGGTGAGGGGGAGGGAAAGCACCCCCACCCCAAACAAAGCACACCCCCAAACCAGGGGTTATTTTTCTAATCAAGAAACAGCCATTACATTGGAGAGGTCCAAGGAAAATGTGCAAGGGGTCTGTTCATAAACTGGATGCAATTTAAGTAGACTCAGGTTGACAGCAGACAGAGCAGATACCTTCCTGCACACAGCTCTTTAGGCAAAACAAGAAGTTTTTTTTTTTAAACATACAGTACATAGTTAAAACTTGTGGAACTCACTGCCACAAGAATTTGCAGAGGCAGATCATGAATTTGTCTAATTCATTTTTTGACCTAGTTAACGAAGACAAAATCCATTAGGAGCTATTAAGTAAAACAGTAAGGTATGTATCCTCTGTCAGCTCTAAATCCATAATGGCCAAGGGAGGGAATTACTCTAGAGGGGTAGTATATGGATGGGGCATACAAAAAGCATCTACTAGAGGAAACACTATTGTAGGTTAGAAGGAGCACTGGATGACCCAGTATAGCACTTCTTGTATTCTAAAACATGGACAGAAGGTTGTTTTAAGAGTTGTTATCTGCTTCAAGTAATTAAAGCCATTATGAAGATGGATTAGGAGGAAATATTCTATACCAGTTTCAAATACTGCAGTGATTTGAAAGCAACCCAAGAGCTTAGGTACCTTGTGCCATGAGATTTTTTTTTTAACACCGGGTTATTTTATGGCTGCAATTTTTGCTACAGGCAGTTTGAAATGGGGAACAAGTTATCAGAAATGAGAGCAGAATCATGTGGAGAGGTACTTTTATTGGATAGTTTTCCTCTTTGGAGGCAGATGACACTTTTTACTAAACAGTTTTCTCCCACTGATCAGGAAGAAAGAGAGCTTAGTTTTATATTTTGAGAAACCTTTCCCCTAGCCAAGATCAATCAGGTAGTCTACTTAGCATCAATTAAACATTAAATTGTCTTTCCCATTTAGCATTCAGGACATTAGACAAATCACCTTTTGCTTTTTCTTTAGGGCAAGTCTTTTAGCTAATGTTCTCTCACATACTGAAGAGATGAACGCTGTGACATTCTTCTTGATGCTAAACAGCAGTAACCAAGCAGGGCACGTTTTATCTTACTGCGTAGTTAATGCAATTATACTGTTCTCGGAAGAAGTCCCGTACTGCTTATAGGTGGCACTGTATTTCACCTCCAGAAAAAGCTTCAATAATAGCAGCCTATATCTTGTTTAAGATGCATTCTGCTGTAACTAATTATTACGGTCCTTAGGAAGGGCAAGGGATAGACTTATCTTCTTTAGGCTTTAAGTTCCACAGGAGAAAAAGAAAAAGGTCTTTTAAAGGCAACTGCCCCACACCTACACCAGGGTACTTCAAAATTCACTGGCAAAACACAAATATTAGCAAAGAAGTTAAACAATAATAAAACCAGTTACCTAGACAGGGCCATATGATCAGCAACTCCAAAGTCTTGAAAGGGTAAGTTTGAATAATGGACATTGATATTTTTAGGAAAAAAAGGCATAGAGGCCAAATTAATCCTCCTTTGGTTACTCAATCCATTTTTTTTTAAAGACAGAAAGCACTTGTGGAAAGAAGTCCAAGAAGCAGTGGGAAAGCTTTAAAAGTGAGTGTTGTTTTATTCCTCATCCTTATCACAAAATGAGAACTGAATTTTTGGCAAAAGTTTGAGAGGCGTAGTTCAAAGAGTGGGTAGGATCCACATGGTTTATGCATGGACTTCAGAAATTACCAAGGAAAATGACAGTACAGAAGCCTTACATTACATGGCTTTCATTTTAAAATAGTTTCATCATACTTGTGATGTACCTACCATGCAGATTTCCAGGGCAAGCATTGCTAGCCTGAGCAGACTTGATAGCTTCCCATGCCAGTTACCCTGCTGTGATGCCAACTGTAGACTCTTTCTGTAACACATCTCTGCTGCAACCATCATTCTCTGAGATTCATATACTTTTGCCAGCCACTGAAAACAAAAACCAGGACATTCTGTTTTAATGACCCACCAAACACTTAAATGTTTTTAAAATATTTGACTACAGAAAAAAAATAGTTTCCTTGTTTCATTTAACTTATTAACCCATAATCATTTTAAGTTTGGCTACTTTAGAACACACAAATATGAAGAGCTGAACATGGACTTTGAGGGAAACAGAGTAAGTTTCCCTGAACAACTCTGCCAATGCATTCTCTCTAGTATTGCAACTATTTATTTCACAAAGGTCTCTTGATATTGCCAGCCATTTACTAGTTTGTCTTGACCTCTCTCAAAAACACAAAACCAAAGAGAGAAACTCATTTTACTTTCAATATAACCCATCCTATGGCTCAGGGAACACAATACCTTGCAGCTCATTTGGCAACAACAGTTCAATTAGGATGTCTGAACTGTTCCAACAAGTTAGACTGCTTCATTCAAGGGGAACAATAATTTTCTATCACAGCCTTCCCCTTAAACAAAATCTCCATCACATGCTTTCACATGGATGGATGGGGCGGGGAACAGAACTTGCGCTGGAATTAGGATGGGGAGAAAAAAAAAGAAAAGAAAAAAAGATGCAGTTACGCTTTTATTGTTACACAGCTTCTGGAGTCAGAAGGTTCCTACTGGGGAAGCGATCAATGACAATCTAAGCAGAATCATCTTACATGTTCCCTTTCTTACCAGCATGGCTGAACCTACTTCTTTTACAAGGGGACGGACAAGGGGCTGGAAGATACTTATTTGTAGCAATGTTCAATTTTGTCAGAGCAAAAGAAAACTTAAGACTTTAAAAATCCTTCCATGAAGGCAGGCCATGTACCTACATTATAAAATTTGCATTTAAAAGAAAACTCCCATAAGGTCATGAGGCAGCTATTCCACATTAATCTCAGTCAAAAATTCAGTAAGTCAACAGCGGATTCTTCTCCTGTTTTAAAAAAAGGCTCTCCTTGAACTTCAGCTACCAGTAGAAATTTCTATTTCCTTTAACAGAGACTGCACAAACTTCTAAACCTTTTACTACATATGAAGATTACACTATTTTTCACAGAAAGTTCCCTCTGTTCACACTTGTAGATTTTTTTGTCCCTGGTACCAACCTACATGAGTTTCTCAAAAAGTGTATTCAGTCAAAAGAGCTTGAATCTTCCCACTCGGAGTGAGAGTGTAGGTGAGAAACACCACCTGAACAATGGTTATTGACAGCTTTTCCTCTGGAACAGCCTCTATATACTAGACTGTAGGAGATTAGTGTATCATGATTCCATTGGACCATTGTAAGGCATTCCTAGTTCACTGTGTTTAAGTAGAGAAAACACAAAGAGGAAGATACAGATATGGTAGCCTCAGATTCCCACCTTATGTCTGAAGTTTGAATGGGCTTTCATGGTAACTTTGTTCTTGCATACCAGAGTGGAGAAGTGGTTATCAAAATATTAGTTCTCTAACTCTCCTAACAGATGAGAATATTTTGCAGGAAGGCCATTTAGATGGATAAGTACTACTGAAAGACTTACAGAGGGACCATTAGCTTTATTAAGACAAGACTCAGATACCCATGGTGATAGAGGCTTCTTATATAGGGAAAAAAACAACTACCCTGGCTCCTGGGGAACCCTATAGGCTGTAAAGAAGTGGGAAGGACAAATTTATTATCAGCAGATATGGGCAGCCATGTAAAGCAAAACCACTTCCACACACACCATTTCAGAATGGAATCTGGACTATAGTAAGGTTAATGACCATCCCAGAATAAAAATGGTCCTCAGTCATCTATGTTGCAAAATGGTGTTCAAGCCTGCAAGAGGCTATAGCAGGAATCAAAGGAGTCCATATCAGAGCTGGTGATCTTTGCAGGCTGGTCTGAGTTGTCAGAGATTCTTGACATTTGAAACAATCTCTAGTACAAAGGTTCTGGCCCAGCAGAAGTGCAGGACTTCTATTAAGATAATCCTTTATACAGGATGCACTGAGGATTTCATCTTATTAAGTCCTAAAGGCTAAAAGAAGTTGCACGTGTTTCGTATTGCAAATTAGGGGCCAGATGTGACCAGGAAAAAAATTCCTTGAAGTGTGAAGGGGTTTCCTCAACTCACCCTTCCTATCTGCAAGCATGAGAATCTCTAGGGCCTACAGGATTTTTTAAAAAAAACCCATGGACACAACAAGCATTTCTCCAATACTGTTTTCATAAGATCTTGTCTTTATATTCAAAAGGGCAATGATGTCACCCTTGCATGAAGCTGTTCATATACCACTGTTTTATAGCTACAGGGCTGAGACAGCTCAGCCACCTGATACAGGGGGCATCAAGTCCCACAAGCACAAACCCTCAAAAAAAATCCAACAAGCCACAAACCTTTGCATAAATGATGTCTGCACATCCCAGAAAAGAAGGCAGCAATGGCCTAAAGATCTGACACCTCAGCATTATCCTCCTTGTCACTGATACAAGAGGTCTAATGGCCTTGCTTGTTTTCAAGCTGTAGTGCTTAACTTGACTTCATTAATTTGTAGCGATTGTAATAGTGCCACACTTTCTGGACAAGTTTCTAAATTACAACGTTGCTCATTTAAAAGATAAAAAGCCACAGAAATGCACCAGGCATCTTGTAGAGCAGCAGAGTAAGTGGAGAAAAATCTACCCAATCATCCTGTATTGCAGGAAGAGTGATTTTTAAAATTACAATGCAACTTTCTCCCTTGACAGTGACAGACTGTCAAAAGGCCTGCTCACTGCTTAGAACCTAATGTTAAAATATGAGCCAATCACCACTGTGTTATAGCATTTTCGCGGCAGCAGCGTTTGCTAGATGCAAAACTTCTCCTGATGCCAAAGAAAGGAGGGAACAAGCCTTTTGATATGAGCCCAACTTGAATGATGGAGGAAGCTTCAGGGGACAGGGAGCCTGGATCATTTTGAACAGAGGAGAGAAACTCTGTGCCAAAACAACAAGCAGAAAGAAAGCAGAGGAACAGTGCTGCTCTGTAAAAACACATCCATTACTGTCTGGACAAATTACTTATTTGTTCCTAGGAATGTACGTTAAGGTACCTTAAGTTGAAAATATTTAAATTGGAGACTTATGATTCAGAAGCTAGGGCTAATGACACCTGACAAATTCCATTCATTAAGTCAGCCTCTAAATGTATACTTTTCCTGCCTCTGTCATCTCGACAGAAAGCTGTTGCAAAGAGACCTTTACTTGTTGACAAGAGGAGGGAGCACAAGTGATCAGGTTCACCCAAGATGGTTAGCAATTACTCATCTCCCTCACTAGGTGTCAGCAAGCACAGAAGAAGCATGTTAAACTCCAAAACAACCATTCTGCTCAGATACTTCAATACGTACTCCTGTCAAAGTAAACTCCATGGACTTACATGCCAAGCTGCAACTGAAGAGCCGCTGGTCATGACCGTTTTACGGAGTTCCTCCAGGATGGCATCTGGAAGCTCTTTATGTGACTGCAACAACTGCCTACACTGAATTTGCCTCAAAAGTAAGAACAGTGCTGGCTGCTCGGGACAACTTTTTAAACCCTGAAACCAAAAACAAAAGTTTTTAATGAGTTTAAGTGAATGACATTTTCAAGAACTATATGAACATTCTTTATGTTTCTCTGTACAATGCAAAATGGGGAAAGAAAAACCCACCCTCACCTCATACTCAACCTGCAGCAAGGTCTTTGTCATGGTTTAACCTGCACCTTTCTATACACAAGGGATATTCCTAAAAGGAAGTCTAGGGAATCACACACTGAAGTTGGCAAGGGACATGCACTACTCTCAGGCCCACAGGGAATTCTTCCAAAGAACCTGCCTCTTACATTGGAAGAGGTTTGGAAAAATCAGCTTTCTTATGAAACTGGAGAATGTGAAGGTGGCGACTAAGGAATCTACAGTGCCTGGAAGCAAGTGGAACGATAAAGAGCTGCAGAGCTGGCCTGATGCTACAGAGCTGTCATGTGGATGGACCTGGCCTTGAGAATATCCTGAGCAATTTGTGAGTTTTCAAGCTAGCCTCTCCCAATTAGTCTGGTTATTTAAAACAGAAGCTTCAATAAGAGGTTTCCTAAAATTGGAGAAATTCCTTAAAAATTTATTTAGCAGTGTTAATACTTGCTAGGATTCAGGTGAATGCCTCTGATTTGGCCTAGTGATATCCAACTTGTTCAGCAAGAACTTGAAAGGTGAGGTTGGGCTACAGAGGGGAGGACCAACATAACAACACTAAGAAGGGCAGTCATGTTCCATAACCACCAGCTGCACTTCTATTTGGACACAAGCAAGATTATAACCTTATGATATGATGTGGGTGTGAGATCAGGTGCAAGTCCTTCTGCTTTAGTGTAGTGAACATGAGTAGTGAGCAATTACCATATGTTCTCACATATTACGTGTCCCAGAATAAGACATGCACGTAGTTTCTAAAAGATCAAATGAAGAAAAACATCTTTCTTTGAAAATACTGGCAAGTACAGTATTCACAGAGAGAACAGGCAGCTGCAGTAGGAGGAGAGCAAAAACCTGTGACTGCTCTGTTAACCCCTAGCTGCAGGACATGGCAAGCACTGCTGGCTGCCCATTTGGCTCAAGAAGAGAAGTGACAGTTTAACGTGGCCAGCAACACCTATTAAGTCAGCTGAAGGCCAATCCTGATGAAGCTGAACTGCCTGGCCCCTCTTCTCAAGTTGGGTGGGCCCCGAGCTGACTTGACAGGCACCACTCACAGCCCATCCAACTTGAAAGGTTCTCTGGCTCCCACAGAATCAGGCCCTCAGCTCTCTGCATTTCCAAACAACAGACATGCATCCCCACTTGCAGCAGCGGATTTAAAAAACAAACAAAAATGTGTGTGGCACGTGTGAGTAAATACAGTATTTAGTCAGTCAGTTTTAAAAAGTTTCTCTCTCAAAGAAGTCAGCAGTTGTTACATATTTAACTGTACTCTGCTGCTCCTATGCAGTTTATCATTACACACAGGACCCAGGAATTACTGCTGTTTCATGATTGTGCCAAGCACCAACAGCAGAAGTAACTTTACCTTTGTGCAGAGAGCCTCAGCTTCTGTGAGTCTACCCATCTCTTTTAAACCAGTAATAGCTTGACAAAGAGACCAGTCTTCAAGAGCTTGGATGTAATTAGCTGGAAAGTTATTTCCTGCAACTGTAAGCAAGTATAAACATGCATCAAAAAAGGATTGCTGCACCTGCTTTATAACCTTAATACATGGCCAACCCAAGTCTTAGTAACTAAAAGGCGACCTCATCATGAGGTTAGGTCACACAGGCTAAGCAAGCATTTCCTAGTTTTCACAAGCATAGTAAAATGGCAAAAGGTAAACTAAAAAACAGCACCATTTTAAGTATCATGCTTTAATTTTTAGGAGGCAATAAAAAAGTCCTTTTGAATAAGTTTTCCAAATTTCTAAGTCAGCTAAATGTCAGGCCTACAAATTAAGGTTGCCCTTTAAGTAAACATTACCAACAATGTAACAGGATATTGGACAGGTTTAACAATATATGAGTTCATTCAACAAACATTACAAGACAGTAGTTCATAGCAGCATTTTAAATGTATTATTTTGAAAGCTACATAATCCTTAGCTCAGGATTTCTTAAAACAGCCAAAACTCTGACTTTGTATCCTACCATCCAAAGTATTTCATAATTAGCATAGCTAGAATTTAATGAAATTAAAGTAATTCTCAGCCTCTCCTCAATATTCCTGACCCTTATTTGAACTGCACACAAAATTATGATCTCTCATTTGCACAATATATGTAATAGTTCATTTAATAAAATCATAGTTCTTGGTGAACTATTGGTAACAGCGTCAGTTCACTGAGTCCTGAATAGTTCTTGGGTAGTGTTTATAAAGTATTCTTTATGTTCTAAGCTTAGAATAGTAACTATAAGCTATTTGTTGAAAGTGTATTTTAAACTTTTAAAATAGGTCTCAAATTTTAAACAAATACAAGAATATAACTTGGTAAATCTGTTAGAGTATTTATAGAAAAGCAGAAAGGAAGAAACAGTATTCTCCACCTCCCCCAAAAAGAAAAAAAATCCAAACAGTTCTATTTTTATTTGGAGAGGAAATTCATATGAAATTTCACACATACAGAAATTACAACTGTTCCCATCCCTGGCTAAAAATGAGAGAGACTGTAGAAAACATTACATATGCATCATGGTTGTGGCACTCTTCGTAAAATGGACACAGATGCCAGAAAGATTTATTGGGTTCACTTCTAGAGAACAGAATGAAAAGATCCATATTGGGAGGCAGGAGGAGGAGGGGAGAGAGGTAGATAAATATTAGAAACCTCGCTATGTAGAGACACAAGGAATAAGTTCTCTGGCTCCTAGCTGAATGGTAGTAGTTAGAAAGGTTAATGTCCATGTGGCAGGTTTACCTGGTCTCATTTCATACCCTGCTACTGGCTCAGGTTCCTATTTCTTTCTCTTTCTCAAGTGGGGGAACTGTATCCTGCGAACTATGATTAGCTTCTCTTTTTTGGGGAGTCCTGTGTGTAGAAGTCTGCAAACAGACAACTGTTTCACCTGGCCTTCCTAGCTGGCTCACCACCACTAGCACAGGTTTCTCACGGCCCCTCTAGATATTCAGGTAAAAGGGCAATGTGGGTGGCAAGACATGTGATGGTGAGATCTAGCATCAGATCCTATCACACCTTACTGCTGGTGTAGTGGGAACCTGGAATGACCATCTCAGGCTCCTCCTGCATGGGCAAGTAGCAAACTCCAGCAGCTGCCAGACTGTCCACCTCTGTAATGCCACACAGCCGAGTCCTGCAGCTGATCACGGCCCTACCCTCAGCCCTGGCAGCACACAGTGCACCCCTGTGGCTGGTGTCAGCTGGTGGGGCTCCCAACTGCAGGGGCATAAACCCTGCTACACATTCAAATTAAAACTGGATAGAAACCAGATATAAAGTTATTACATATTTTCCAGCTAACTTTATAGCTGGATGGACCTTATGGTAGTTAATTTGCATGTGTAGCTGGTCTAAATTAACTGAACAGTTACCCCAGTTAAGTGCAAAATGCATGTAACATGTAGAAGAGGCCTTAGTCCTTGCCACAGAAAAGAAAAGAACTTTCCTTCCAAAGGAAAGGAGGGTGCAAAACCAAAAAACACCCCCCCCCCCCCAAAAATGTTCATACATTTATACTGACTCCCTTTAGAACTCTTTAGACAGTAAACTTTCCCAAGCTCTCTTGGGATTTCTTGCTTGAGGCTGGATGTTCTTCCCACTTGCTGCATATGGTGCAATGACTTTGCTTGATCCCAAGTCTACTCTTCAGGGGATCACAGCCAGTGATGGCATATCACCTAACTATCTTAGTTCTTGAACACAAGCAACACCCCATCCCCACATATACACCTGACGCTTGTATCCTTTGTTTTACCTGGTAAAGTGGGCAAAACCTAGTTCAGCTGCCTTGGTTGCTGAGCCCAAAACCTTTAAAAAGGGCCAGCCCACCCTGCAGTAACCAACCAATGCATGCTATAGACGTACAGAGGTGAGTGCTTACTAGCTATCACTGAGGGAGGGAAACACCTGCTTTGACCCACACTGAGGTTGGGAACATCTATTTACTATTTAATACAAGTCAAAACGAATGCATTTGGCCATATGCATTCATTTTCACATCTCTGGAACAAAATGAGGAAAAACTATATAGAAAACTGGAAGTAGGTGAGATGCTCACTTAAAAGCACTAGTTACTAGGCATGTGCGAAGCGGGCCCTATTTGATTTGGATTCTGACTGAACCAGAGACAGTAATTCGGTTCAGCCAAATCCGAATCTGAAGATTCGATGCAGATTCGGAGAATCAACGAATCAGACACAGACAGTTTTAAAAGCTTTAAAAGTTTTTTCTACGTACTCTGGGGTACCAGCACGGCTTGTGATGGCCGCGATGCTTGGGCATCCCACAGGAACGTGGGGGGACCCTCCACATGCTCGGCAGCAAAGCTGGAAGTACTTCCGGTCCACTTCCAGGTCTGTCGGGGAGTGCGCTGGGCCCCTCGCCCCGTGCCTCCCCAGCTCAGTAACTGGCCACAGGGGGACCCTGGATGCCCCCCCACCCCAGACCCAGGAAGCACCAGTCACCAAGCCAGGGGGGATGAGAGAGGGGGAGCCTGTGTGCTCGCTGGCAGACCCAGAAGTGAACCGGAAGTGCTTCTGGTCCACTTCTGGGTCTGCTGCTGAGCACACTGCGAAGCCCCCCGCGCTCCTGTGGGACACTCCATGCACCCATTTAAAGCTGTCTTTATGATCAAATCTCCAAATCAAATGGGAGGGTTCCAATTTGATTCGGAGACATTAAAGGGTCCTCCAATTCAATTTGGATTCAGAGATTCGGCCACTGAATTGGGCCGAATTGAATCAGGGACCAAAGCTTTGCACTACTAGTTACTTTATCAGCCTGTATTTGAGTAATGAGAGAAAGTTTTAAGTGATTCCCTTTAAACTGTCAACTAAAAAACAGATTTGCCAACTCAAAAAACATTAGAGAAGTTTGCTTTGTCAAATTATGAGAGAGTTCAGAAATGCCTACTGTAACTTACTTTTGGCTGAAACTGTGGCTACAAGTGTCATTTCCAGATCTGTTCTCTTAAGCTGTGTGTTGTTCAAGCAGACAACAGTGTTTTCAGCATGGCAGGCAGCCATTAGCACTGCCCAGGCTGCAGGGTCATCTGAAAAATAGAGTGACACATTTTGTAAAAACACTGGCATGCCATTTGGAGTTGTCCTTACCATATGAAGTGAAGAGAAAAAGCAGTCTAGTATAAATGTTATACTAAAATAAGCCAATGGATCCTTGAGGATATTCAACAACTAATGAGAGGGGTGGAAAAGAAAGTCTTTGTAAATCAAGGCCCAGACCAATTCTGAACATGGATAAGTATATTCTATCGAAGGAAGGTTTGCAGAACGATATAAATGCTTTGAAGTAGTAGCACCTTCTATTTGAAACAGTTTTGCAAGCTTTTAGGCTCAATATCCTTGCATGTAAGTATTACAGCCATAATACAAAGGGAAAAAGCTGGCAGAGAAATTAAGCAGTTTGTAGATTTGCAAAAGTCTATAATAGTCTCAGAAACTGAGAAATAAATAGCAAAAGCCAATCTGGTGTCTGCTTTGGGATGCTGCTTTTTAGCATCTTCTGCCTGCAACAGCATTCCCACTTCTATTTCCAACACTTTTTGCCAAATGCCATTTGTTATGACAAATGCATTTACCTTGAAGAGCAACAAAATGTTTGTGACTCTTACTGGTTCAGGTATTTAAATTCATTTGGACACTAACTATAAAAGAAACAGCCCTGTACTAGCAGTGCCCTTGATAACAGGTGAACTGGAACAGCCCATGCTTTCCTCAGACAGGATCACACTAGTCTTTGGAAAGCACAAGGAGCAGGGGAAGAGAGGACAGTTGCAGACTAAACAGATGTATTGCTCTCTTTCTTGGAATAAATTTCCAGTGGTGGAAGTTTTCCATTGCTAGACTGATAATTTGTACATGGCCATATACCAGGGGCACTCAATCCCTCACCTGTAGGTCAGATCTGGCCAACAGGTCTCCACATGGACCTGACGGGAGCCCTGCCACACAGGTTCAGGTGCCCAATCCCAGTGCACAGGGCTGAATGGGGACAGGAGCAGTGCCAGAAGCTTGGGGCCCCAATCCCAGCATGCAGGGCTTGATCTGGCCTATGGACCAGGACCAGCCCTGTGCCCCTCTGGCTCAGAGCCAAAAGCTTGAGGACCACTGCCATAGACAACTGGACAACATTCATCTAGAAAAATGAAATGCAGTCCTTGACAAGGTCTGCTGGTTTTGAACCAATTACATTAGGCTAAGTCTGTATTCTATTATAGACCCATCCAGTTATGGAAAAGTACTAAATATGCATTATTTCTAACCCTGTACCCTTCAAGTACACAGTTCTGCACAGGTTACACATTAAGATACAGAGACTACAATACTTAAGTCATGATATAAAAAAATCTTGGAGAAGGGAGAAAAAGCCACACACAAAGTGATTTTTCTCACTTCCTGCATGTTTTGAATAAAATTTCATAAGTATCTGAACAACACTCATTGTAAATAGTTACAGGGAAGCTGTAAAGGTTTCAAGTGCAATTCTACCCTGAAAGAAAGGTTTAAAAGGAGAGATTATACAGTTTTTTTTCTGTCAGACCAATGGCTAAAAAAATTTTCAATTTATGTGTAGAGTAAAAGCCCAAGCAACTGAACCCACGGCTTTTTTTTTTTTTTACCAGCTAGCTTTGTAAGCTCCAGATGAAGTTAGAAATTTGAGCTATTTTTGGGTCAAGCACCACCATTAGCAATGAGTATTTTACAATAAGAATTTTGTGTTTGTCATGGTGAGGGTGCAAAAACAAAAACAAAACCACCCACCCTAAACTTTCATACATTTATATTGACTCCCTTATATTTTTAGAACAGGTTTTTCCTTCTACCAAGCCTTAGGTGGAGAAAAAAATCCATCTCAGTATGCTATTACAGAAGTTTGACATTGTACATGCTGGCAGAGACCTGTTTTAGATTAAGCCATACATTGAGCATCACCATAAAATAAGGCAAAGTTTAAAAAAAAAACCCAAAACAAAACAAAACTCCAAGGAATATGATTTTATTTGCTTCCTCATCAGGGAGTTTGTACACCTCCAATACAGGGCAACAAGCAGGGATCCTACAGAGTGCAGTCTTTTACTACACAGCTTGACTCATCCCCGCCATGAGCCCATCCTCTGTATGGAATGAAACGAGAAAGAGTGCTGGTACACGATTAGGTAGATGCACAAAGGACCACACTGAGGCTGTAAAAGGAGGCCTTTTTTCAGGTATTTTCCAGCTTTAGTGTGTTTATTTCACAATTCATGAGCAGGACTTGTGTAGTGGAACAGTCAGATCTGCTGTACTGCTCAGCAACTGACAAAAAGTTAAAGGGAATGAGCTACACTTTCCCAAAGGGCTTCAGGGATGTTTGTTAGCAGCAGGGAGAATCCGATGAGAAGCAGGAATCTTGGATTCCATTCCAGACTGACCAGAAGTGCACTCTTGCAGACAGACACTGTTGCCCTGCCCCATGACTTTCACTGTGCCAGAACCGTCTTCTCCACCACAAGGTTGTCCCAATCCTATTCTTTTTACCTACCCAATTCCAGTTCACACTTGGCATATTTCTTATTCCATTTCCAGCCCTGTGGGATGCTATTAGCTGCCCCCCTCTAAATCAGTACCTGGTGCCCCACTCATCCCACCTTAATTACTCTACTGCAAAATACCTGATCAAAAGAATTCTCCTAAAAAGACTGGAGGAAACATAAGTAGAAGTTTTTCCACAAAAGCATTAATACTGAGAATTTTAGTGAAGAGTTAAGTCACCTGGAAAGAGATGAATTGCCTTTTGGATATTCTTTAGTGGGTTGTTCTTCTCATCTTCAATTAAATGACAGCCTGCTGCCAGCTGATTAACTGCAGTATTCAGTAAGGCTTTCTACAAATGAGAACACAAGATACTCAAAAAAAAAAAAAAAAAAAAAAGTATGTGGCAATTGAAGATGATTCACCTTATGGTTATTTATGGAATTAGAAAGTCTATTTAAAGAGATGAAAAAACATGCCACACACCTTTCCCTGGTTTAAATCAAGTATCTGAGCAATACTTCCTGTCACAGCTCCTCCCTGTAAGGTAAGATATTGAACTGATTACATAACGAATGCAGCACTTTTACAGGAGATATTAAAATTAGATCACGTTACTAAACTTTGAACAAACATAAACTAAAAAGTATGCATTCAGGTATTTTTCCTTCCACAGCAGCGAAATCTGTTCTCTCGTTCATATTCCCATAACTGATCTAAAACAATTATTATATTATGAAGATAACAAGACTATTGATGAGCTCTAACTGTTGCCCCATGAAGAAAGGTCTTAGTATACTGATGCTTTTCCTTGCATTTTGTTTTACAGCTAATTGTTACAAATGAAAGCAAAGTGAATGTTATCTTAGAAGCTGAGGTAGCAAACAAATAAGTTAAGAAACACTTCTGCTTATTAGAAAAACAATACATGTGCACAACAAATCTGTCTGTAAACAAATCAGATTCCTTGGGTGTGTGTGGGGGAATAAAACAACTAAAAAGAGTTAGCAAAAACAACTGTGCATAAAAGTTGATAAAGTATTATTGTGACTTCGCAGTGTCTACAAAATATGTATACAGCAGGCATTTATAAAAACAGCCTAGGCAAATTTTGGTTTTGAACTTTTTTCAAAAAGTTAATTCACGCTGAACAACTTGTACTGTCCACTCTAACATGCTCACCTTTGCATTTTGTGGTGTATGCTGAGGAACTAGTCGAGACAAGAGAGACCAGAGGGCAGAATTATCTGGATTGCTACAGGAGACAACAAGGGTATTTAGAATGATTCTGCCTCAAACAGTACAAGATGTGAACCCTGCTTGTTACCATTGTGTAAGCAATTATTTTCAAACTGTGTAATCTGCATTTCCCTCCCACACCCAGCAGTCATTAAGTTTCCTTTGCTAGTGAATTAAAACGAAGAGCTATCTGCACAAATTCAAACACTTTTCAATGAAGTTTATACTACAAGTTTAGGTTTCTTCTGATGAGCATTAAGGGAAAAAGAACTTTAGTATAATTTGAAGAGGGGGAGGGAAGAAAGAGAGGAAATAGGATAAATGTCTGAAAATCTTTCAGAGACAATAGTTGTAAAGGGCATTTTGTGCTGATGCTCTAGCCTATGTAAAAGTTACCACTATTACCACATTTGAGTTAATCAAAAAACCTCCCAGAGTGCTTAGCTGTAAGAACATTAAGCTAATAGAATGAACTGCCCACTAGGTCATTAAAGATTAGGTTAGAAAAAGACTAAGGGAACTCTGGAAGGAAGGAGGGGAAACCCTGCTGCAATGCAGAGGGCTTTTCCTACAGCATCAGCAGGGATCCCATTCTTTTCTCTTTAAATGTAAAACATGGATTGGGGTTTTTTTTTTAAATCAGAGTATCTTGGATTTTTTTTTTATACATATAGCATATCAGTTGAACACAATGTTTTATTGATATATTTACAATTTTAAAGCAATCTGGAAACCTATCAGTTTCTGCCTCAATCATTATAATAAAGTAAAAAGCAACTATATATTTTGGCATTTAATTTGGGGAGTTTTTTAACCATGGAAAATCAGAGCTGCCCCTTTTACTCACCAAGATGCAAGTCCAGCTGTGGTCTCCCCCACTACTCTGGTGCCAAGTAGCCCTGACATACCAGTGCCCTCCCTCTGCCCATGCTGTTGCCTCTCACTCCAAAGCCACAGATGCCCCAGTCCTGCCAGAGCCCCTCACTCCCGACCCACAGCCCCTTTCTCCCCTCTCCCCCCCCACTCCCTTCCAGCAGCAGCTTCCTGCTGGGTAATTTTGGATTCTACTAATTTTTGGTAGAGGGTAATTTTTGGATTCTACTAATAAAGAAAATTTCAGAACACGTACGTATGGATAGCTTTGGAAGCTTGCCTCTGTACTCCCACATTTCTGCCTTGCAGTGCATATACAGCAGATATAATAAGGCATCTCTCATATAAGTGATCTTTCCCTTTTACATGCTTTAGTAGTTCTTTAAGAGCTGCTGTTGCTAGTGTAGCATCTTGTTTTGCCAGCCCAAGAGCACAGAGTGCTTGCAGACTTTCGGTACTGGGTTCCTTTAATATAGAGCTGTAAATGCAATGGAAGATGGGTTATTGTGGAATAAAAGCTGTACTTATCAATAGTACTGTAGGACTGTTTGTCAATTTTTACTTATCAAAGTGTCCCAAGAGCAATTTGTGTACATGGATTCACTGAAAGTTGTGACTGGCTCTTGAAAGTACTATTAAAAAAATGCACTTTGGCTCCTACAACTAATATAACAATAACAACCCCACTACAAAAGATTGGATTAAACTAGATCGGTGTTCTTCAGCTGCCTACACACTTGAGTTTCAGCGGAGTGCACCACACAGAAGGATGGCGTGTGTACGCATATGCAGAACACAGCTGAAGAGGATATGAGAAACTGTCCTAACACCCGTCCCAGACATCTCTCTGAAATGAACACTTTTGTCCCATTTTGTTCAAGACACTGGGATGCCCTGGACAGGTCTTCAAATGTATGGTCACTCTAAAATGGGGACATGTTCTCAACCCTCTACATCTACCCACTGCCTGCCATACCCTCTTACCCCAGAGAAACCTTTGTTCCACTACAGTCACAAGATTATGTATATCAAAGTCAAGGGCATCTATTAATATGGAATTGTGCACAATGGACTATATACTTCACTTTTCCCAAAAGCAGTTCTGAGGAAGGAAGACTTTACACCAACTTTCTATCTAGATGGAATGTACTAAGTGTGCATTGGTACCAACTCAGACATACTTTCTCTCTCCAAAATCCAAAGACTGAGTCCCTTTTTAACTCAAAAAATATTTTCTTTTAGTACATAAAAGCTTATACAAAAAAAAATTATAATAAAAATAAAACTACCCTGGTTATTCAGGGCTACATTTTATAAAACCTAATGGCATTTATGTAAGGTCTGAGACAGAGTACATACCCTATTTGATGATCACTTTCTAATCTGGCATTACCTATAGATATTTATCAGTGGAAAAGAACTAGGTCCCTACACAAATTGGCCCTACTTATTGTTTGGGTCTCTATTAAAAAAAAAGACAAAACAAACCAAAAAACCCTAAATCAAAGATTTCAATTTCCTACATATTATTTTTGCTTTAAATGCACTAGATTAAGAAAAAAAAGATTCAACGTTCTGGTCTACCAAGCTTTGCAAGGAGGAAAACAAACAAATAAAAGGTTGGTTATTTTTAATTTTTTACCTGTGGTCCCTTTTCTTAGAATCATGGAAAAGTAGCTCTCTTCTAAAAAACACAGTTACTCCCTTTAATACTAGCTCTAGTAAAAAACTATTTTGAATTACTTTGCATCACTGCCAATCCACTGTTTTAAAATTTAGAGACTGTTTTATATTCAGTGTTGAATTTATGGCAATATTACAGTTGAAGTGTACCAGTTTTCTTTAATACAAGTGACAAATATTATGTAGGAAGTTCTTTTTGTTAAGGTTCATGATAAAAATAGAAAGAACACTGCCATGACTAACCAGCAACATTTTCCCACATCCTGTTAATCATTCTTCAGGATTACTCAAGATTAAAAGTGTATTAATCTGTGACCTCA